GACATTATTTCTGAGTTGTTGAAAGAAGAAAACGCATAAATATATTTTTCTACTCCGAAGGAAACCGCGGTTATTTCATTTTTTTAAATTTAGTTCTTGAATTTTAGACTTAAGGGTAGTTATCTCGATTTAAAAAAAACAGAGGGTGATGGAGCAATTCTGACTTCATATTCGTATTCAGGGGGCCAAAATACTATAAGACATGTAGGTCTGGTTCAATGAACAGACAACTTTTTTTTTTGTGTGCCTGTGTTATTAATTTGTAAAATTCATTATACCTCGATTCTTCTATTTTTTGCACTCTTTTTTCACTTTCCTTTTTTCTCAATTTATCCATTACTACATCTTCAAATTTCTCCTCTTCTTCTCCAATACTATTTAATTCTTTTATTCCTAATTCTTTTAACATTTTCTTCCTTTCCTTTGCCCATCTTCTACTGCATCCTCTCCTACCTTCACTTTTCCTTTCCTTCAAACATTCCTTTACCAGCTCTTTTCTTGAATCCTTTGCTTTTTCTTCAAATCTAATCGCTCTTCTTACTGCTTTCACTTTCATCTCTTCCACTTTGCTTTCTTCCGTCAATATATAGTTTGGAGTCGTCATGTCCAGTCCTAGTATCCATTTTAGATATTTTCTTGTGATTCCATCTAAACTCTCCTCCCTCTTCCATCCCCAAACCTCTGCTCCAAAAAGACCCACACTTTCACTTAACGCCACGTACATTTTCATTCTTCTTTTAAAATCATCTTTGAATATTCTTTCTCCTATGCTCCATGTACTCTTCATTGCAATAATCGACTTTCTCCTTCTTTCCTCAATTTGTTTCACTGCTCCTCCATTCTTTTGCATTATATAACCTAGATATCGCATTTCCCTTACTTCTTCAAGATTCTCTTCGTCCCATTTCCATTCTCTCTTTTTTCCTTTTCCATTCTCGAACACTAAAATCTTTGTTTTTTCCGCGCTTAGTATCATGTCCTTCTTTTTCAAGTATTTCCTAAACCTTTTTAACATATATCTCAATTCTTCTTCTCCATAAGCGAGTAAAACTATATCGTCTGCATAAGTTATAGTCCATACTTTTTTGGTTCCTACCATTACTCCTCCTTCCTTTCCATTTCTCATGTCTTTCTCTAAATCGTTCATATAAACATTATACAAAGTCGGGCTCATTGGACATCCTTGTCTCACTCCTCTCGTCGTCCAAAACTCCTTTGAAAATTCCTTTCCTACTTTTACTACATTAATCGTTTCCTTATACGTTTCCATTAGAGCTGTGCAAAATTCGAACCGAACCGAGTTTAGTTCGGTTTTGGGGCACCGAAATGTCGAATGTCGAATATTCGACATCCGAACTGGGCTAGTTCGAATGTCGGTTTTTCGACATTCGAACTGGGCTAGTTCGAATGTCGAATATTCGACATTCGAACTGGGCTAGTTCGAATGTCGAAAAACCGACATTCGAACTAAGCTAACTCGAATGTCGAATTTCCGACATTCGAACTAGGCGAAAAAATTCGAACAGTTCGGTTCGAATTATTTTGCACAGCTCTAGTTTCCATTATTCTTATTCTCAGTCTTTTACTCACTTCCATTTTCTTTAAGCGTTCACTAAGCTTCCCTCGATCTACTCTGTCAAATGCTTCCTTTAAATCCGCAAAACAAGCAAACACCTTCCCCTTATTTCCCAATTCCCTGTCCACTATGTGATTTAAAACATATACTGCGTCCATCACTCCTCTTTTCCTTCTAAATCCAAATTGATTCTCTTCAAGCTTTTCGTCCACCTCTTTCATTAGTCTTTCGTTCAAAACACTTGCATATACTTTATACGCCGTATCCATCAAAGTTACTCCTCTGTAATTTTTAACTTCATTCTTATCACCTTTCTTATATATTATACCTATTACTCCAACCTTCCACTGTTCCGGTATTCCTCCCTCTTTCCATGACTTATCCAACATTTTCCAAACAGCATTTCCGATTGCTCCTGGCATATTCTTCCAAAATTCGTTTTCTAATGTGTCTTCTCCTGGCGCCTTTCCTGTTTTTAATCTTTGAACCTGTCTTATAACTTCCTCTACTCTTAATTCTTCTTGCTCTTCTTCATTGTCTTCCTCTTCTACTTCTTCTAAGGTCTCCTTATTTTCCTTGCCTTGAAATCTTTGCATGAAGTGTTCTCTCCAATCCTCCATTTTTATATCCGTATCTACTGTTTCCCTTTTCCTCCTGAACTTGTTTATATACTTCCATACTTCTTGTTCAGTTCTGATGTTTTTTATTTTCTCCTCTTCTTTCTCGAATTCTCCCTTCTTCTCCTTACACCATTCTTTATATTCCTTTTTTATTTCTATGTATTCCTCTTTTGAACATTTACCATTTCTCCATTTCCTTAGAACTTTTCTTACATTTCTTTTCTTTTCTTTCCATTGTTTGTCATGCCATGGTCTTTTTCCCATACCCATTTAAACTGCTTTCTCCGTGTCTTCGGAACTGCCTCTTGAATTTTTTCTTTAATTTCTAACCATACTCTCTAAATCTGAATCAGCGAAATTTCACTGATTCTCAGCGATAAGTATGCCACTATTTTAAAACAGCGTATATGCGCTAATTAATCGGTGAAGTTTCACTGATTATTTAGTGAAATTTCACTAATTCACAGCGCATATACGCTAATTGAAATAGTGGCATACTTATCGCTGATTCAGATTTAGAGAGTATTTTTCCTATACTTTCTTCTTTGCTTTCTCAGCCCTTACAATTTTCTTGATATTTTATTATATTTTCCCTCGTCCATTCTCTCCTTTCCACTACTTGATGTTCTTTCTCCATTTTATTTCTTCCATTTCCTTCGATTTTTCCGTAGACTTCTAATTCTAGTGGCCAATGGTCCGACTCTGTTAGTTCTCTGCCCCACTTTTAATCCATTTATTTCGTCTAGTGCTTCTTGATTAACAATTATATAATCAATTACCGATGATCCTTTTGGTCCTAAATAAGTATATTCTCCTGTCTCTCCTTTATTTCCATTCACTATTGACCAGCCTCTCTCTTCCAGTTCTTTCACTAATATTTTTCCTTCCCTATTTAGCACTATATCTTTTGATTTCGTATATTCTTCATTTTCCTCATCCTCTGTTATTATTTTTCCTTCATTGGCTGTTCTAGCATTCCAGTCTCCTCCCAAAATTAACATTTCTTCTTCTTTCTCATCAATTCCTTCTCTTAATATTTTTAATGTTTCTTTCACGTCTTGACAATACACTACAAATATTCTAAACTTTTTCTGATTGATTTCAATCTTTCTTTCCACCACATTATTACCCCACTCTTTATATTCTATTTCCTTGATATTTTTGTTAACCCCTGTGATTATTCCTCCTTTAGCTCTTCCTTTCTTATTTTCTTTTTCGGCATATTTACATTTCCAACTGAATTTTTTAGGTAGATTTTTCTCAATTTTCTTTCATTTCTCTTTGTCGACCCACGTTTCTATTAATCCCACTATGTAAAATGTATTTAGATATTTCCAAGTTTCATTATCTTTATTAATTATTCCAGCGGTGTTCCATATACAAATTCTAACCCCACAATCTTCTTCTCCTTTTTTTTGCTATGCTCTTCTTCTTCTGTCAGTTTCCTCTACTAAACACCCTTCCCACTCATTCCATTTTAGCCATTTACCTTCTATTTGTAGTTTCATATATCCAATTTTTGCATTATTTCCTTTGTCCCTATCTGCTTTTGCTCTTCTTCTTATTTCCTGTTAAATTCCTCTTTCTTTCTCTGTTAAATCGTCATCAATATAAACTCCTCTTTGTAATTCTTTTTTCTTTCTCATCAAGTTTTTTCATTTCCCAGTTCTGTAGATTTGCTACCACCATTTTTCCTTTCTGTTCATCTCTACTCTTCTTTAACGCGTATGCTTTTACTACTTTTACTTTCAGGTTCAAACTTTTGTCAATGAACTCCTCCACATTTTCCTCCAAATTGTCCTCTGCAAATTCCTCTCCTTTTATTACTATATTTAGCCTTCTATTTTCTCTTTCTCTTTTTTCTTTGTCTCCTTCTAGTCTTCTAATTCTTTCAAACAGCTCTTTTTTTTCTTCTTTCCATTTTTCTCTTTCCTTTCTCCATTGTTCTTCTCTTTTTTCCATCCTTTCAGTAAATTCTTATAACAATTCTTCTTTCTGTTCCTTCAGTTGTTCTTTCAATCCTTCTTTTATTTCTTGTCCTATTGACATCAATGTTTTCTCCATACTTTTTTGAAAATCCATTTTATCTTTTGCTGTTGTAAACATCTTTATACTCGTATCTTTTGGTGTTTCTTTATTCGTATTTTTACTACCTAGTGGTCTTCCCATTTGATCACATTCAATTTAAAAAACTGACAACACTGATCACTATTGCCCTCTTGCGTCGGAAAATACACTCACTCACCACACTAGTCAAAAGAATACTTTCTATAACTTTTCGCTCTTTCTCGTTTCTCCTTCTCATCTAACCTCAAAACTTTTCACCACTCCAATTTCACTCAATCACTTTATCAACTTTATTTCTCTTATTCCTTTCTTTTATTTTCTTTCACTTCACCTGTTTTTAACTTTCTGGTCCACTATTTATACTTATTAACACCTTTGTTCATCAAAATTTTTAACGTGCATCCACGCTCACACCTTAACCGGAAGTCCGATTATTTTAATTTAGAAAATAATAAATTAAATATGTAATAATAATAATGTTAATATAACAATACAATTGAAAAAAATATATTTAAAACGACAAATTTCTAGTGAATTTGGAACAAAAGTAATTTATTTTTATTGAATTACTAAATTTAATTAATAAAATTAAATTAAGCCAAAAGAAAATAATAATTAAGTTCGAGGAATCGTTCCCGATATATGTACAGTATAATATTATTTATAAATAAATAAATAAATAAATAGAGATAGGTGAATGATGAAAAGTGATTTTCGGTCATTTTGGCGGGCCTTACATGAATCAGGATGTGGCTTCTCCTCGGCCACCATCAGGGCTGCGCTCTCTGCTGGTGGTATGTGTCCCTCTAACGCATTCACACAGTTTAGCATGCTCCTGTAAAATACCACCCAACTTTTTTTTCCAAAAAATTTCAATTGAAAAAAATTTTTTTTCCTCTCTTCTCATTATTTCTCATATTTTTTGTTAATTACTCTTTTTTTACACTCTCCATCGTCTTTTTTCCTTATATTTATTATTAATTATAATAAGCATTCGTTATACGTAATTTTTAACCCTTCAAAAAACAGAGAGAGAAGAAAATTTGAAATTAAATTTTAAAAATAGTCCTTTAAAAATTTGTTCTAAATTAGTTTGTATATTTTTATTTGATAGAAATTAATTGATGAAAATTAATTATATTTTACATATATTTTAATACTATTATGACCACGTGTTTGCGCAAGCGCGAATATATGCTCGTGGAGAATATTTCCGTTTATGCGCGCGGAGAATAAATTTATACCACACAGTGTATACAACCTCTATGTATCATATAAAATTAATTGTTTTCATTAATTATATTATTTATATTTTCATATAATTAATTATATTATTATAAAGAAATACAAACTTTTGTAATGATAATAAAATTAATTAAATTAAAAATGGAATTTTGATACAATTATTGTTTGTGTCAATTTGAAGCAATAGAATTTCAGAAGATGAAGTGATATATTTTTCTTTTCCACATGAATTTGCGATTTTCGAATTAATTATTATCACAGCAGTCATTGAAGTGAAGCATTAAATGTTTATAATTTTGCAAACTGATATTATTTGCAAGCTCACGTGATTGATTTCATTATATTTTGCGGTTCGGGAAATTTACTTCGACTACTTGAGATGAAGTTAATTCTTGAATTTTTATTCAACTTCTTTTCTAGTAATTAATTAATTAATTTAAATATTCTTCCAACAATATTTTTTCTATTTAAAATTTTTTAATAATAAAATTTAAAATAATATATAAAGTACAATTATTAATTAAAGAAAATTTATTTTTTACATTAATTAATTATATGTGAAATTTGGTTACTAATAAAAGTAATTAAACATTTATTAGTTTAATAATTATAATAATAAAATATAATTATAAAGAGAATAAATTTTCATTACACAGGAAAAAAAAAGTCTGACTCCGTTTACACCTTAAATTCAGCCCATGTATTTCACATAAGTCTGTCCTTGTTTAATGGGGCTGACTCCGTTTACACCTTAAATTCAGCCTCGAAAACAGGCTAAAAGTAAAACTTTTTTTTTAGTGTGTATTAATTTCGAAATAAATTTTGAAATAATAGTTAAATAATACATTTTTTTGTTCATTAGGATATTAATAGAAAAATAAATGAATGAAAATAATAATTGAGGCTTTGGATCGAATAACTCGCCCGGCGCTCGAAGGCACGCGCTAATACCAGTCGGGTAGCAGTGAGTGGTCCAGAGGCGCTCACTGCTCACTGACTGGCAGTTGCGTGTTCCTCCGAGCGTCGGGCGAGTTATTCGATCCAAGGCCTCATTTATATAATTAAATATAATAAAAATGATATTATTTGATGATTAAATGGAAGTTGAATAAAATTCGAGAATTTATTTTTTCTCCTCATAATAAATGCAATTAGCCAAAAAAAAAAAATACAATAGTCATACAGAAATTGTAGATAGGCATTCATTTTCGAACAGAATATATATTTTAGAAGAATTTCATAGATGTATATGTACATATATTATATATAATATATCCTACAATATTTACACATAATCTCTGTTTTGTCTCTCAATAGAACTGTCCTTTTACAGCATTTAAACTAGCTATATGCTCATTGTTTGTCATTTTTTTTGTAAAAGGTTATTTTTTTAGGCACGTTCTATCACTCTTTTCCTCAATATATCTTTTCTCGCGACTTTCATACCTTCTCGCAGCATCCGAAACATTCATTTATATATATTCAATTTTTACATACAATATGATTTATAGGGTAGAGCGGGGCTAGTTGAGCATAGGGGTAAGTTGAGCAACCGAAATATCTCAGGCTCTATAAATTGGCCGCTAATTTTTTCAATGCCAGAAAGAAGCAGGTGCAAGAGGGGACATTACTGCGCAAGTGCCTGCTTCTTTCTGGCATTGAAAAAATTAGCGGCCAATTTATAGAGCCTGAGATATTTCGGTTGCTCAACTTACCCCTATGCTTAACTAGCCCCGCTCTACCCTATCTATATTATTATCGTACATCAATTTTTTCTTTTTTTTGTAAATGAAAGAAATTAATGATTGACGATCTAATATTTTTTTAAAATTTATTTCTTGAGCACCTCTAATTAAAAAAGTGATACTTTTTTTGTTGACGTAAGCCATTTTTGTGGTTTTTTCCTTTTTCTTTAATTCTTTAATAATTCAGTCGAACTTTTGGTTTTTAATTTATAATTAAGGAGAAATTATATTAGAGATATTTAGGAAATTATGCATTTCACAGTTTCTAGTTTTTTTTATAAAATTTTCTAAACTACATAAATTTTTATAGGTAGTTTAATGCATAAGAAATTTTTTATGTTCGGTTTTTGTTAACGCATCAATGAGAAGAAATTTTCGTTTTTGAATTGACCATTGAACTAAATATCGCAAATGGAATATCTTATATGGTAAATTGTAAATTAATATCAGTAATAGTGTATATGTATATTAATAATGGATGCCGTATAAGTGAGGCAAATAATCCTCATATATAAGGCCTTTGTCTAGATAATTGATTGAAATTTACTTCATATTGTATATATATGTATACGTTCGATATCAATATGTTTATGATTTTCAATTATTACGACCCAATGGGAAGTAAACGATTGGTTCAATAATGGGCCATGCTTGGCGAACTCCGTTCCATTATTGGAACATTAATGGCAACCATCATTGGACCACCAATGGTTTAAACTTGGGATGATCACGCTACTGCCAATGATCGGTAGCCAAGCATCGGGCCAATATTAGTTGCCAAGGAATTGCCAAGGAGACAAAATCGATTTTCAAAAGCTTGATTTTTTATTGGCAGCCAACAAAAAACCAAGGTTTTGAAAATTGATTTTTTTTAATTATTAATTAAAATTTATTTTTAAAAAATATATTTTTCAAAAATTTATTTTAAAAAAATATATTTTTTAAAAATATATATTTTTTTAAATTAATAGAACATATTAATTTAATTTGTCACCTCTGGTAAAACAAAGATGAAAGACTGATAAATTCCCTCACTTTATATTTTACAGTGGAGGGATAACTGTGAATGTCTTTGCGAGAGAGGAGCAGGTACTTATATAGAGCCAGTGAAACAGGTCACAATCGAGAAGAAATCACTAGCATGCACTCTGGCGGCGCTTGTCGGAACTGTTTTCTGGCGCGCATGCATATCCTGACATTATCGACGCAGCGCTTGGCAACCAACGTTGCGCCACTTCCGACATGCGCCGCCAGAGTGCATGCTAGTGATTTGTTCTCGCTTGTGACCTTTCTCACTGGCTCTATATAAGTACCTGCTCCTCTCTCGCAAAGACATTCACAGTCATCCCTCCACTGTAAGATATAAAGTGAGGGAATTTATCAGTCTTTCATCTTTGTTTTACCAGAGGTGACAAATTAAATTAATATGTTCTATTAATTTAAAAAAATATATATTTTGAAAAATATATTTTTTTTAAATTAATTTTTGAAAAATATATTTTTTAAAAATAAATTTTAATTAATAATTAAAAAAAATCAATTTTCAAAACCTTGGTTTTTTGTTGGCTGCCAATAAAAAATCAAGCTTTTGAAAATCGATTTTGTCTCCTTGGCAATTCCTTGGCAAATAATATTGGCCCGATGCTTGGCTACCGATCATTGGCAGTAGCGTGATCATCCCAAGTTTAAACCATTGGTGGTCCAATGATGGTTGCCAATTGTTTTGCCAAGAAAAAACCATTGGGTACCAAGCATGGCCCATTATTGAACCAATCGTTAACATTGGCAACTTCCCGTTGGGGAATTATGCTTCAATGTATATACGTGAAATGATAGCACAACTCTATTATTAATATTATTATTACTTCTATTATTAGTAATTATATTAATATTCAATATTCTTGCAATTATTCTTATTGTAATTGTTATTATTATAATTATAATTATTATATTATAATTATAATAATAATAATAATTATTATTATTATTCTTATTATTAACAATTTTAATTTTAGAGAAATAAACAAAGCCTGGTCGAATGAAATGTTAATTTCTCTCTTTCTCTCTCTCCCTCTTTATTATATTTAGAAATAGCATTTGATTTTAGTTCAATGGTCTTCACTTAATTATAATATGATTGTTATTCAAATATAACAGAGACTTTTCACAGATTATTTATTAATTTTGAAATCTTATGCATTTAATTGACGACATTGTGTTTACAGTTTTTTCTGTTTTCTTTCAATAATTGTCATTGCCGGAGCCAGGAACTCAATATATTTTCTTTAATGGTTAATTAAAATTTTTTATTATGTAAATAAAAATTCTGTAAATTCTTTTTTAATTTCGATTTAAAAGGATTATAAAGTGAAATTAGAAAAAACGTCCCATTCGAATTGAAGGAAATTGTTTCTTTATTCGATAATAGTTATTTATGATACAAGTGCGTAAAATCGTTGATTATACGAGTGTGACGTTTGCAGCTCGAGCCGAAGGCGAGTGCTGCAAGTCACACAAGTATAATCTGATTTACGCACGAGTGCCATACAAAATTTTTTGCAACACTAAAACAACTATACTTGCAGCAATATTGCTAATATTACTGTAACTTTAGGTGCAGTGGGGAACTGTTAAATGAAGTATTCTAGAAGCTAAAATAAAAAAATGTGATTGTAAATTGTTAATTAAAAGCATTATTTCATTGTTTCTCATCAAACAGTCACAAGAATGCGTAAAGTAACCTTTTTACGCACTGAAAATCACTTTACACACTGGAATTCACTTTACACACTGCTAACGGTGTGTAAAGTAACACTTTACACACCGCTATAAAAAGAAGTACTTT